ATCAAGTATAGACTTATCCTTGTCATGATTCCGCAATAAGGTTCTGCTTCCATATAAAGCGCTAATAACTCTAATTTTCCCACCTATATATTAAAATCATCGGACATAGATTAATTTCAACAAATAATAAACACTCCATATCACCAAATATCTTATACCTTTAACAACATAGCATATGTAACGCCCGTTGACCGCAATGGATTTTCCAAGACGGTATTCCAAATCACTTGGAATAAGAGTTATGGTTGTAAGATTCAAATCCTTTGAGCACAAGACCTTTTCATTTCGTTCGCCAGTATCATACAGAAGAACTCCTCTGGGAAGTCTTACACCATCCGGAATACTAGTACGCATACAAAATAAAAAAAGAACGGTACCGATATTCTATGTTTTAATAAATGATTTTATAAGATAGTTTCAAATCATGTACGAAATAAATCAATATTGTTTACCTTGTTTGACCTTTTGGCGCTGCGCTCGCGCGTACATTCCAAGCCGAAAATCCAGAAAGGAATGGTTCAATTTGTTGTTGAGATCTATAGAAAATTCCACCTTCTTTTTGAACAGTCGATACGTCTTTTCTCTTTTGTGAGGGTGGAGACGATTGTGACGGCCACTGGTGAACGACTGGATGCCGGTGAGAAGGAGAAGATGGCGGTGATTTTTTTAAAAGGTCAAATGGATTGCTATATGTGAATATCGATTTGTTCGTCATGGGCGGTGAATGTTTAATAGCTGTAGTAGTGGAAGTTTGTTTAAAAGATTCCAAACTAGATAATTTGTTGTAATCAATAACTTCAGTGGGAGATGATAAATGTTCATCTATTTCAGATGTTTCTTCAAGAAAAGAGTTATCTTCGTCTTCTGGACTTTCATTTGAAACCATTGAAGTTTCAGGTTGATATTGGATTTCGTTTTCTTGCTGACTACGATAAATAGCTTTGTTAATTACTTTGTTATTAATGATTAAATTCTTAAAATTTATGATAATTACATCCCAGAATTATACCTTTCTTCATGGCTCGTGACCGGTGTAGGACGGCCAAATAATGCAAGTTTAAGAGATTCGGTTGAAGCTTTATCGACGTTTAAAGTTGGGTCAACTGTCGTTGGAGAGGATAAATTTTTAAATTCGCCATTTGAAGGACTTTGTATTTGGCTAACTACAACATTATGTGGTGTCGTTGATACAGGCGAAGTAAGGGAATTGGGATTTATAGTCTTAAACAAAGACGTCAAAGGGCTAGGTGACATTACTTCTGGTTCAGGTAATGGTGGTGGCGGTGGTGGCACGGTAGTTGGTGAATAAGTAACAGTGGAATTATACCCAGTTTGTTGAGTAAATGTCTGATTAAAACCAAAAGTCTTGGGAGGGCTTTGCCTCGGAGGTGGAGTTGGTTGCGATGGCGGATAAGAGGGTGTTGGTGGACTTCTTTGACCAGCCATTGTCGATTCGGAAGGTGACGCTTGGGTTTTGTGAAGAATACTCAACAACGTTGCTGAAGGGTCCATTTTACAACGTCCTGTAGTAAGAATTTTTTTATGCCTTATCGATATACAAAAGTGAAAATTTTTTATCTGTGATAATTTTAGATTTCAGAATGTTAACCTGACTATGACGCTCCGCAGTAACTTTAAAATTAAATGAACTAAAAAATGCGTCAGTATCTTGTCACATGATAGTAATCACAGTGAGGATAGCTTTTTTTTATCGATAAACTTTTGGTAATACATTCCTAAATGCATCCTTTCCAAGTGCATATTACAACTTGGGTTTCAAGCTTATAACTTGTACTAAGTACATACACTCTCTGCCCTTTGCATGTGCATATGCTTTCACATCCTGAACTTATATATTAAAAAAAAAAAAAAAACTACATTAGACTTACAATTTAAAAGTATTTATTTGTTGCCGGCAATAACAGTACGTATCAGGATTTTATTTAGAGTTGTATTTAGAGTTATAATAAGTTATAATACGATATATATATACAGTACGGGACAGCAAAAAACATCTAATTTTTAGCGGTTGTTTAATATCTATATAATAACTTTATAACAAATAATTATTTTAAAAATTCCTCTTACATTTTATTATTTATAAACTAAACTACAAATCTGTAAGGCAGATCTTTAATATCTTGTTTTTTACAAAGTTATAAGAAATTATAAGAAAAAATTTTTTTTTTTTTCGGTTTTAAGGTGAGGTCTTGCCTC